GGAAAGAATAATTTGAATTGAGGAGCTGTTTGGAGGGCAGTAAACAAGATGCTCAAAATAGGTTTTGCCCTAACAACTTTTCTCCTATTTTCCAAAGTGTTTTGATGATTTTTAAACTTGATTTATGAAAGATACTGATCAGAATATTTTTAGCTTCAAGCATTCACTAAATAATCTGTTATGCTCCCAGAATATTGGCTTTAAATACCATAGGTTTTTAAAAAACTCAGTGCAGTGAAGTGATTCTCTCAAGATTTTCTTTCTTTAGCTGGAGAAACCTACTGGCTGTGTTTTTTTATATAATCTATATTTGAAAACTTAGCTTTTTTAAGCTAAGAGATGGTGTTATGCAAGTACTAGGAATTAAGATAAAACTGCAAAATGCAACAAAAGAAGCAAACTGAGAATTATTACATCTGTGCACCAGCAATAGCAAGCTAGAAGGAGTTAATGAAAGGCCTTGTTACTTTCCTGGCTGAGGCTAAGCTGCTGATAAGAAAATGGCTGGCATGTGATATTGCAGCTGAAATTGGAAAGGGGCAGCAGATGGGAGACTGCCTAGGAGAGGGTTAGAGAAACTCCAAAAAGAGCAATACTACAAGGAAGACTGCTATGTGAAAAGCAAGAAGGAAGGGGAAGAAATGCTTTCTTCTCATTATGTGCCCTAGCATGTATTACCTTACTGCAAGAAGAAATGTAAAAATGTCAAGATTTATTGAAGCTTGGACTAAGGCTCAAAGCTAGATCTACTGCTCTGAGTTTGGATGAGTCTCCAGGTTGTACAGAAAGATGGGATTAATGATAATTGAAACTCTACTGTGATGGCAACAGGCAGGTGTCACAGGTGTTGGTGAAGCTGTGTAATGGCATCTTCAGAAGATACTCAGAAGCCTTCTTTGCCTTATTGGTTCTGGCTGAGAGCCAGAAGGCTCATGCAGAAGCAGGAGAGGGGAAAGACCGGACTTACTCTTTCCTAGTTTATGTAAAAGTTATTGTGGTAATCTTGCTTTCCTTCATCCTGTCTTAAATTACTTGGATTGTACTTTGATTGGTTCATGTCATACAGGTTTGAAACCGACATAACTGAGATTAAAAAAAAGTCCTCAGTGCAACAGTAGGTTTGATTTTTAGTTGTCTTTCTTATTGTAACTCCAACTTCAATGTCTTTTCCTTCCATCTAGGCCTTGTGTTTATACGATGGGATCACCAATAAACAACAGAGCTCTTTTCCCATGCCAAGAACCACCCGTTGCCTTGTCAACATGGCAAGCCTCAGTCCGAACAGCTGCAGGCTTTATTGTATTAATGAGTGGTGAAAACACAGAAGAACCAGTCCAGCTTCAAGAAGGTGAAATATATTTTTCTATAGCAAATTATTTTCAATAATTTTATAATTAGAAATATAGCTTAGTAAATATATGATTTTTGAAATAACGAAGTTCCTAAACCTTAAAAGCACTTACATATCTATCTGTAATCTCCATATCATTCTGCAGAAAAGTGACCTGCTCAAAGCCTCGAGATAACTTAGTAAGAATTCAAGACACCTACATTTCACTGTGTTACTTCTACTTATTTTTTTCTGTGTTTTTATTCCTTTTAACTTTTCCAAATCTACACTTCACTTGTCATAAATTGGCTTTGTTTAATCACTCTGGAGTTGAATGTTTCATGATGAAGTACCTTATCAGGCTCTTGACAACTTCAGGCCTTGGTAGATAATTAACTTTAAGTTTTAGTTCTCCAGTCTAAGTGTAGCTCAGCATGCCAATGATTAGAAGTGGTCATTGTGTCATACCTGTTTCCTGAAATATATGGAATAGGTGAAGAATATCAGGTCAGTGCCCTGAAAATCTGGTCTTCGGGGGTTTTTTGACATGGGTAGGTCATACCTTGTGCAACAGTAAGCAAGCAATAATTTTTCTTCTGTGTTGTTACACCTTATTCTCTAATCCTCTGTCTGCACAGAGAAGGAAGTTTTTAAGGCCGTTATACACATAGTATGTCTTGCTCCCATTAGTTTTGAGATAATCTGTCAAACAGGGTCTCTAGTGTAAGTAGTTCTGATGAGAAGTAATGTATAGGAAAAGGTTAGAATTAGGTGTTTCTGTGGAAAAAAAAATCTTCTGTTCCCCTTTGAAGAGGCAAGTTTATTCTTCAGCAAAAAAAAAAAAGGTCTCTCTGATTTGAGAACCATCAGTTAATCCATTTTCTTGGAATTGTCTGGTTATTTTTGGCCATATGTGAAGCCTGTTTCAGGCCTGTCTCTGCTGTTGAAATATGGAAAACTGCTATGATGAGCTGCTCAGCTCACTTGGACAATAATACTTTCCTGTCTCAGCATCAAGAAAGCAAGACTATTCTGGACTTCAGACTAGGAGAACAGCTCTGCCATCATTGTTTAATTAGTTTAATCCACACTTAGACCTTGCTAATGAGTTGTTGCTTGTCTGTCCTTCATTGGTGGCTATGTGGTCTGAAATATTAAGAGGGAGAGGATGTTTACCTGAATTTCTAGAAATAGAAACCTTGGAAAAATTTTCAGGCAGTATAAATTGGCATAGGTCAGTTAAAACTGATACTATCTGAGACCAATTAGCGAGTTGAAAAGGCTGTATTGTGAAAGAATTATTTCCTCATTAACATTGTTTTGTCATTCTAGTGTAAAAAAAAATTAAAAATTTATTCTTGGATAAAGAAAAAAACCTAGTTGTGGGGAAAACCATTTTTAAAATGCTGTTGATGGAGTGTTGAGAATGATATAAGGGTGCCATATGGTTAATGATAGCACAGGGGCTTAGTCACCCAAAGTAAGCCTTGTCATCTCATGGAGAACAGAAGGGACTTTTGTTTTAGTCCTTACAGTTGTTGCAGTGGGTCGGTTTATGTTGGTAATTCACGTGTCAGCTTAAAGCTTTATTTGTTTTGTTTTGGGTTTTGTTTGTTTGTTTGTTTAATTTTCCAAAGGCTAACTCAGTATGTTTCCTAAGAACTCTGTGAAAGCAAGAAATACTGTAAGGAGTCTTTAATGGAAAGGCCAGTAAGGAAGGAAATTACTCATTTTAACTTCACTGTGGTAATGAAGTGCTGAATGGAAAGTGTGAAGTGAACTGGGAAGAAACAAATGTAGCATTAAAGCTGGCTCCTTTGGAAGCCATGTGACAATGGCAAAGTTTTGTGCTGAGCTTTACTGTAGAGAAGCAGCAGGAGCACCTACTGCAGCCCTGTCCTTACAGTTTTCCTTCCACCTTGCCTCAAGATGGAATTCCCAAGAGTATGGAAGGTTCTGCTTATGGATCTATGTGATACAGAATTGTTTATGCTAATTTTTATGTCATGATGCAAGGCTTGCTGGGTTTCTTTAAAGGTAGTAGGCATTGTGTTCCAGTAGCTCTTAAAGATTCAGTCATGGATGAGACCCTCATTATCTTGGTGCTTATATACAGTTGGAAATGACAAATCAGTGTTCAAGAGCTGTTTGGAATTGTAAAAATTTACAAAACAGATATAGAGGAAAGAAGGGAAAGGAGCAATATTCTGAGGAATGTCTTAAAAAACAAACCAACCCAAAGCTCAAGTGGTAATCTGAAACCCTGAATAAATTCTTAATGAATTTAGGAATACAAATTCATTAGTTTAATTAGTAGGACTTTTAAGACTTCAGAATGGTCTGTAGTGTTGAATAACCTGTCTCACATAGATCTTTTTAGGCAATTTATCCAACTTAAAATTTTTCTTTACATTTATAAAACACACCTAAAAGCCTTTCAGGATGGCTTCAATTAAAATAACTTTTCCTTGCCAAATTATTTACATACAGTACGCTGTTGCTGTGCTGCATATTTATAAAATCATACATAACTGGCAGAACATGAAAATATATTTTTAAAATTGCAGTTTCTCAGAAGGAATAAGCATTTTGAGTGAATTTATTCTGAGTATAATTACAAGTCAGCTAAATATTTTTTCCTTTAAAAGTCATATTGATAACAAGTGTGCAGGCAGACAATAAGAGAATAGCAAGCAAGGATGATACCTTCACACTTTTAAACAGATTTTCATTCTGCTTCACAGACCTACATCACTAGATGCACAGATGCTGTGCTCCAGTGCATAGCTAGACCAGGTGCACTCACGTGTACAGATTCCTCATTTTCCACTTGTGTTTGCGGGTTTTGGTAATAGTGTACTTTCTCCTGTTATATGCCATTTTTCCATGCTGCCTCCGACAAAAACTATGGCTTGTCCTGTCATTTAAAATAAAGTGAGACCATATTTGTTTGCTGATACATGACTTACTGAAGTACAAATGGTAACTATTCAAGTATGACTTAAAAGCACTTAAAAATACCGCACATTCTTTAAGGAGTACTTAGAGAAGAAAAATTTATCAGAGAAATGCAATTGACAATGCCCTTTGGGAGAGAGCTTCACAGGGAGCACTACGTGTGTGTGTGTGTGTAATGTGAGCCATTTAACCATTGGATTTATTTTTCAACACTTGTCAGTTTTACTTTCCTTGAGCATATTACTGTAACACATAGAAGGTGCAAATATATTTAGTCACAAACACCTTTACATTTGTTTTGATTCATGCTCAAGAAGTAGACATTCAACCATTGAGTTTGAAATCGACTGGCTTGCTTTTTGTGTGGTTACTCTACCATTATGTAGAGTATGTATGCAACCTTGATTTTGGTTCGCCATCTCTGCTTCCAGTGAGAAGGTGTATTCTGTTATTGAGAGGAAATATGGTGCTAGAGGAGCCCCTGCTACTGCTCTGTAACAGACAACAACAACAGTTGCTTTTGTTTGTGGCCCTCTCGCTTTTCACAAGGCAAAACAAAAGAGTCCAGTGCTTGTGTTGATTGACCTCCAACATATATCAGGAACTACAGCATGGGAGTTGACAGTTCCTCAAATGCTACTCATCCCTCTGAGCCAGTGTTGAACTAATGCTTTGGCATGAATGTGAGGGCGCTCTGTGGGAAATTCTGGCTTTCAGATGAGATCAAAGATCTCTACAAGTTACAAAGAGTCTCAGAAGGCTGGAGGGTTCTTCATCCTGGTGCTCCAGCCAAATAGTTGTTTTGGCATAACTACTTAATTAGCTGTAGTTTTATGTATTAGCACTAGCTCTTACTTTTTATATCAAATGCTGTGTGGGTGTCTCTCTTTTTTTCCCTAAAGGCAGCTGAGTTTTTTGGGGTTTAGTAAATCATGAATATCATCTGTATTTTGTGGTGTTTATATTTGTGTTAGTACAAGCTATTTGAGGGAAAATATAAGTGAAAAGACTCTTGATGTTCTTGCATCTGGCATTAACAAGTACTGACTCTCAGGTGTTTCTTCAGTTATAATGGACTCCACAGGACTCACAGGAAGTAGTTACATCATTCATCATTATTATTTCAAGAGAACAAATAAATGGCCTTTAAATCGGTTTTTTGCACAGTTATAAATAGATTATAATTTCCTACCCTTGTTAAATGTAGTCCTAAATTTTGCATGGGATGTTTTCCAGGTATACGTCCTAGAATAGGTGATTGCTATTGCATGGCTTGTGCAATTATGACATGATAGGTTTGCTTTGCAGAACCAAAAAATAAGTTTTTTTTAAAAATTATTTTCAAAATTACCTGTAGAAAATGTTTTAAAAATATTATAATTGCCTGAAATCATTATGTGTAGGAATCAACTTGCTTTTATATTGTCTGGGTGTAAGGAGAGGGTATAAGCATTACGAATAAAAGAACTGAGGTGCACTTCCTCTTTTTTTCCCATTGACTAACCCAAGCATAATCTCTTCTTCATCCCACGGTGTCCTTGCTTAGTCTGAAAATGTTTTTGTGGTACAAAATGCTGGTTTTGTACCACAGCTGGTAGAGAAAGCTGCCTCCCCGTTTCAGCTGCACTGTTTTCTCTTACCCTGGAGGTGGTGCTGTCTCCAAGGTAGCTACTGGAAAGGGGAAGGGGAGAAAAAGGAAAAGGAGCAGCGTGGAGCTTGTGATCCCCATCTGTGCCCTGGGATAGGTCTGAGGTTACAGATGAAGGAAAACAAAACAAAGCCCACTGACCTGAAAAAAGTTAAAGAAAGGAAGTGAAGTTATGGGAGAAAAGGGTAGGCTAGGAGACAGTCTTACCAGTGGTGAGAGGAGAAGACAGAAGATAAATGAGGGTTAGACTCTGTTGGAAACAGTACTTCATGGGTCTTGCCATGAAGAGAAGTGTTGCCAGTATAAAGACCATTTCAGTCACCTGTCAGTGAATGTGCTATAGAGAGAACTCGCTTGTCATTCTAGTGCATGTGATTTCAGTCATTCAAGACAAAACAACTGTGGGATAAATATATAGTTATCCTACATAGTTTTAGAGTATGAATGCAGGGGGCATCTAAAAGTCCTGCAGGAAACAGATTGACACCCAGTTAGATGTGTAAAGACAGTACAAATCTTGGATCTTTTTCTGGGAGTATCCAGAGTTTGCATGGTTTCTGTAATGCTTGTAAAATATAAGTGACTTGGAAAAAACACAAGGATCTGTATGTTAGTTGCTTTTCTTTTCTTTGGGAAATCCTAAATTTAGATAAATCTGAAAACACATACCAAGAAAAACTTAAACTGTCTTTGGTACCTTCACCCTTTTGCAAGGTTTGCTCCAGCCCTGAACAGCATATGTTCGTTGCTAGTTCATGTAAATTTCTGAATGCCATACATGCTGTTCTTCTCTCTGGATTGCTAAACTGATTCCCCATTAATTTTGACATTCTGTTCAAATTACCCTTGTTTTTTAAAAAACCTCTATGATCTTGCTTGCTCTACCCATCTTGCTAAACTTGCTGCTCACTCTAACCCTCTCTGCTCCCTCTGTTTGCACAGCATAGGTCAACACCTTGTCCTTTTAGACAATCTCCTCACTGTTGCGGGAGGCTTTTCCTTTACACCTCCTGCCATCTAGAACAGTTTTCTGTGACTGTCTTTTGACTTTAATGCTTGTGTCAGAACTCAGTTGAAAACACATTACTATTTTTCCATAACAATTCCTCAAATTTTCACTCTTCCTTTGCTGCTATTTAACTCTTAAGGTTTTCCAATCCACATAACTGCATGGAGCATTTTGTAATGCTTTGTATGTAACAGATGCTACACAAAATGAAGTATTGTAGATTACCTTTGGGCCTTTTTTTGCATGCATTTAAGTCAATGGTAAAGCTGCTTTTAACTTCAGTGTGTGCAGACTTTGGCCTCTAGCACAATTATATCAATGAAACTCTCTAGATGAGGAGTTTGGTATTTCAACATAATAAATTGTTGCTGTACCGGGTGACCTCTTTCTTTTGAGGTGGCATTTGCATGCCGTGGCTCATTTGTAGCTTTGATAATTAATAAAAAAAAAAAGGCGAGGGGGAGCAGAATTTGGCAAAACAGTTATCCTCTTTGTTCCTGATGTGTGTGAGGCAAAAAATTCCTTCTGCTCACAAACTGACAGGAGATTAGGAAAATTACAGGAGTAATATATGTTCACCTGACCATACAGACAAAAGGTTTTTGATGGTAGCAGTGAATATTGCCAAAACTGGAATGGACTCTTTGGACAGCTTGACCTTCTGTGGTCATTAAGGTAGGAAACCCAGAGATGCTTTGCTGCAGTTGTTTATTTCCTTTCTTCTGTGCCTTGTGGCCTCCACTGGATTGTTTTTTTTTCTTTTTTTTTCCTTTTGACAGTGTTCCATAGCCCTAGTCAGAATATTATTGCAAAAGAACAAATATTAATATTCTCTTAAAATAACCTGTTTGTATGTTTTCACAGTTGCCACAGCTACAGTTATTTGAACATGATTCAGCAGGTTGTAAGTCATGCTAAGCTTCTTCCAAGAGTAATTAACCTATTAGCATGGTGTAGTAACTGTTTTTGTGACCATAAATGAGAACTTGAATGTGACCCTTTTTCAAGGGACAAATGGAAAATCTAGGCAACATTTAGATTAATGAAAAGTATGCCATCCTAAAACATCCTCTAGTTTATCCAAGCATGTTCATGGATAGTTATCCTATACCATGCTCCTTGTCTTCCAGCACTGTGTTCACATAATGATAAGATTTACCATCTTTTTGCCTTTTAATAAACTCTCTAATCTTGTTTTAGCAGCTCCTGGATTATCATGACCAAATCATTGACTTAGGTAATATCCCATCTAATTCTAAGCTTTGATTTCTCACTGCCTAGTTGGCACATCATGTATCTCAGATTGCCAGGTCCAAATCACAAGCGCTAGTCTTTTTTAGAACTTGACTATCAGTTTGGTACTGTCCACAACACAAAGAAAAGATTTTGTTTTGTACGAGATAGTACAGTGAAGACAAAACCATAAGGGGGTTGATCCAGGGTTGAAAGAGTTAAATTTTAATCTTTTTGTGTGTGTGGATCTAAAGGTGCTATTAAATTTCACATTAGATACAATTCTTGGGCAGTAGCACTGAAATCATGTTAAGTTGCATTAATAACATCCTACATATGGATTATTTATTTATAGATAAAGACATCAGCAGATAGAGGAAAGTTGCAGGTGTAAGTAAACAGTGCTGGATCCCTGGTGATTACATATGACTGCTTTTACACGTCTCAGTGAAATTATTTTTCTTTCCTCCACAAAAATACCAGGATATAAGGTGTGAGTTTGGCCCAAAATCTCAGGTACATAAAAATGTCAAGTACTGAATGTGTGCTGTGCCTGATGAGTCTGTACCAATGTTCTTTTTATTTACAGGTATCTTGAGCTGGTACTACTATGTGACTATGCCGATGCCAGCATCCACCTTTACTATTGCTGTGGGGTGCTGGCAGGAAGTTAAACAGAAGTCCTCCACAGCTGCTATCCAAACAAACATTGAATTTTCCTTGCCATCTTCACAAGCTAATTTCAGGTTGGTGTTTAGAATACTGTTGAAAAATGAGATATATGGGTGGCATTTTCATTTACTCTGTGGAATGTGAAAATGAATCATATTAGTCCAGGAATCAAAACAGAACTTCTTTAATCTGAACAGAAAAATCTTGACAGGAAAATAATGCATTATTTCATGGTTAAAGGTGTATTTCTTTTTATGTGAAAACAAGCTGCTTAGTGAGCAACAGGGTTAATAAATCCCAGTGTCCTCTGGATTTACATCCTGTGTTTCTTAATGCCCTGCTGCAGCCTTACCAGGTCCTTCCTTGTTTCTTACAATGCCTGGCTGTAAGATCTTTCATGTTACTACACTTGGTCCGTTCTGGATACCTAATGCCCACTACTGCAATATTACCTACTCACTCGCTTTTTTCTTCCTGTCGAGTCCCAACCGAGAGTTAGAGATGGCCTGTGCAGGGTTTTTTTTCTGGGGTGTTGTGTGCTGCCTGGGTACATGAAAGACCTGTTGCAGTGGTGCCATAAAATAAATTTGGACCAATGATTCTTTTCAATAAAAAATACCCTGTTATCTAGTACATGCAGTGGCTACTTAGCTGTCTTTCACCAAAGTCATAGAAACATAATTATTTTGGATACATCTCTTCCTCCTTCCAATCTAGTCAAAACTGCTAATTGAATTTAATTTATTACAGAGTGATGGATGAACAGAACAATACTATATAGGCCTGCAAATGAGATTTGAAGCTAAAAATTAAGTCTCTGGAGAAACGGCACTTGTTTCCACATGTATTCATCATAGTTAGCCGAAGTCTCAGACATGGCATTTGATTTCCTTGCATATTGCTCTCAGTTTTTCAAATTCAGAGTCATAGAATCACAGAACAGCCCAGGTTGGAAGGGACCTTGAAAGATCATCTGGTCCAATCTTTTGTGGGAGGAGGAGCTTAGATGAGGCTATCACCACTCATTGCCCCTTGTCTTCTCCATGTGGCTCCTTGTGAAGAGAGAGCCTCTGTCTCCTTTGTAGGTGCCCTTTAAGTACTGGACTACTGTGGTGAGGTCCCCCCGAGCCTTGCCTTCTCTCCCCCCATCTCCTCCTCTCTCCTCCCCTCCCCCTCCCTCTCTACCCATCTCTCCTCTCCTCCCTCTCCCCTCTCTTGTGTTTCTCATTTCCCTCCCCCATCCATCTGGTGTCTCTCCTCTGTACCTTATCTCTCCTCTCTCTTCAGTCTCTTTCCCCCTGCCCCTTTTATCCCTCCCTGCCGCCATCTTCTCTCTCTTTGCTCCTCTCCCCTCTCTCTCTTCTCTCTTCTCAGAAAAGGCCTAACTTCTCAGTCTTTCCTCACAGGGTGGGTTCTCTAGCCTTTTGTTCATTTTCATGGCCCTCTTTTGGATGCTCTCCAGTCTGTCTTTCTTGAACTGTGGGGACCAGACTTGGACACAGTATTCCAGGTGTGGTCTTACCAGTACTGAGCAGAGTGGGGTGACCATATCTCTACCTCTGCTAGTAATGCCCCTGTGGATGCAGCCCAGATCTGATTTGCCTTTGCCGCTGCAGAAGCGCACTGCTGACACATTCAGCTTGTGGTCCACCAGGAACCCTTTCAGCAAGGCTGCTCCCCACACACACAGATGCTAGCCTGTGCTGGGCTCTTCGGTTATGTCATTCCAGGTGCAGGACTTTCCACTTGTCTTCATTGAACTTCACACCCTTCTTGCTAGCCCACACTTCTAGCCTGTCCAGCTCTCTCTGTAAGATGGCTCTCCCTTCTGATGTGTTCACCTCACCACCCAGTGTGGTGTCATCAGCAAATCTGGTGGGGGTGCTTTCGATCCCACCGTCTAGGATGCTTGTGAAGATATTGAGCAGGGTGAGGCCCAGCACTGATCCCTGGGGGACTTGTGACAGACTGCCAGCCTGAGTAAAACACATGGATCACCACTCTCTGAGTGTGGCCTGTGAGTCAGTTTCTCAGATTTCCTACTCATCTTGCAGACCCTCCATCCAGTCTGTATCTTGCCAGTTTGTCCAGGAGAAGGCAGCAGGAAACTGTGATGAATGTTTTGCTGAAGTCCAGGCAAACAATATCCACTGCTGTCCCCATGTCAACAGATAATGTTATTTTGTAAAAGGCGATCACATTAGTCAGGCTGTAAGTATTTCTTCTATTATGCAATTAGAAACCTAGCTGAAACAGTACTTCATAGAATCATAAAATCTCTGGGCTGAAAGGGACCTTTTAAGGTCATCTAGTCCAACCCCTGCGCAATGAGTCGGGACATCCTCAACTAGATCAGGTTGCTCAGAGCCCCGTCCAACCTGACCTTGAAGGTTTCCAGGGTTGGCGCATCTACCACCTCTCTGGGCAACCTGTGCCAGTGTTTTACCACCCTCATTGTCACAAATTTCTTCCTTATATCTAGTCTAAATCTGCCCTCTTTTAGTTTAAAACCATTACTCCTTCTCCTATCGCAACAAGATCTGCTAAAAAGTCTGTCCCCATCTTTCTTATCAGCCCCCTTTAAGTACTGGAAGGCTGCAATAAAGTCTCCCTGGAGCCTTCTCTTCTCCAGGCTGAACAACCCCAACTCTCTCAGCCTGTCCTCACAGGAGAGGTGTTCCAGCCCTCTGATCATTTTGGTGGCCCTCCTCTGGACCCGCTCCAACAGGTCCATGTCTTTCCTGTGCTGAGGGCTCCAGAGCTGGACGCAGGATTCCAGGTGGGGTCTCACCAGAGCGGAGTGGAGGGGCAGAATCACCTCCCTCGCGCTGCTGGCCATGCTGCTTTGGATGCAGCCCAGGATGCGGTTGGCCTTCTGAGCTGCGAATGCACATTGCCGGCTCACGTCCAGCTTTTCACCCACCAGTACTCTCGAGTCCTTCTCGGCACGGCTGCTCTCCATCCCTTCATTCCCCAGCCTGCATTGACACCAGGTTGCCCCGACCCAGGTGCAGGACCCTACACTTGGCCTTCTTGTTTTAGATAGCTGTTTTGGGCTAATGCTATGTTAACATCAAGACAGTGGAAGTCCCTACCGTTTTGGTAAAGCCAGTGAGACTTTGGAACTTCAGGACCTAGTAGGATTTTATTGGAATTTAAAATAAAAGGATGACACCAAGTTGGGTAGGAGTGTTGGTCTGCTGGAGGGTAGGAGGGCTCTGCAGACGGATCTGGACAGGCTGGATAGATGGGCCAAGGTCAATTGTACAAGGTTTGATAAGGCCAAGTGCTGGGGCCTGCACTTCGGTCACACAATGCTCCAGGCGTGGGGAGGAGTGGCTGGAGGTCTGCCCGGCAGAAAAGAACCTGGGGGTGGTGGTTGACAGCCGGCTGAACAAGAGCCAGCAGGTGGCCCAGGTGGCCAAGAAGGCCAACAGTGTCCTGGCCTGTATCGGAACTAGTGTGGCCAGCAGGAGTAGGGAACTGATAGTTCCCCTGTACTCGGCACTGGTGAGGCCGCAGCTTGAATCCTGTGTTCAGTTTTGGGCCCCTCACTACAAGAAGGACATGGAGGTGCTGAAGCGTGTCCAGAGAAGGGCAACGGAGCTGGTGAGGGGGCTGGAGCACAAGTCTTAGGAGGAGCAGCTGAGGGATCTGGGGTTGTTCAGTCTGGAGAAGAGGAGGCTGAGGGGAGACCTCATTGGTCTCTACGACTACCTGAAAGGGGGTTGTGGTGAGGTGGGTGTTGGTCTCTTCTCCCAAGTAACCAGTGATAGGACGAGAGGAAATGGCCACAAGTTGTGCCAAGGGGGTTTAGATTGGATGTTAGGAAAAACTTCTTTACGGAGAGCATGGTCAAGCATTGCAACAGGCTGCCCAGGGAGGTGGTGGAGTCACCAAAACTGGAAGTATTCAAAAACCATGTAGACCTGGTGCTTCAGGGCATGCTTTAGTGGGTGTGATGGTGTTGGGTTGATGGTTGGACTTGATGATCTTAAAGGTCTTTTGCAACGTTAATGATTCTGTGATTCTGAAGGCTTGCTGCTTGGCTAATTTTGGTTTTAAAAAATTCTAATAAATCTTGAGAATAGGAATTTTTATAGTTTACCTAAGATCAGCAAGACATGCATGTTCAAGCTTATTTTATAGGTTTGATAAGCTTCTAGAAATTGTTTTGTGTTTATTCCTTTACTATTTATATGTTTGTAATATGACTGCCCCTACAGAAATATGCCGTAGATGTTCGCTATATATTCTTCTCTAATGTACAGCACATTCAGTAATAGGTATTTTTATTGATTTGGTGCAAAAGATTATTCTGACAGAGTGTTGATAGAATAAATGAAAGTTTCCATTTTTTCAAAGCTTCTGAAAAAAGGGAAATATTTTTGTAGCTTTTTGTAGCAAAAATTAGTGCAAGTTTTAATCAGTGTGATGGTCACTGTTATAAGCTTATCTGTGTGACTGTCATGGGATAAGTTAATTGGCACAGGTAGTGTGATGTATCTGCAGCAGTTGAGTTAGTGACAGTGGAAGAAACAGAACTAATGTGTTTTGGGAAAAAAAAAAAAGACAAAAACCCCCAAAAAATCCTCTGCAAGTGTGGTATCTATTACGCCTAGACAAAAAAGGACAGCCTAAGTGTACAAGGTTGTTTTGCATTTAATTAGGACATAAAAATCTATGCCCTTAAAAATCTACTCTTAGAGTTATATCCAGTTAATCTTTATTAGGGATTTAGCACAAAGACACTTGTTACTTATTTTAGTCATTGAGACTAGGTAACCAAACCAGCATTATGCACAGTAACAGGCATTTCTAGAAATGGCATGAAATGGATAGGCAAGCAAATGTCATGTAGTGTCTCAGATAAGATAATGGAGATAAACTCTTGAGCAACAGAAAAAAAGAAGGGTTTCGTAAAGAAGTTGTTGAAATATTTAATGTAATTTACGTCCAGGTGCCAGTGAGTTTGACATAAGGAGACTGTATCAAAGAAAATGTTAAATAGAGCTAGGGTGTTAAATAAGTTTCCTATCTCCCTGTGGTTATTAAGGACTTGGCAAGTTTTACAAGAGGTAATGTGCTAGCTTTCATGTTCCTGCCTAATCTCAAGTCTGACAATTAAATACAAAGTGGCATTGTTTTAGAGCAGAAATATACTGGGTTAGACCACCCTTAGAAAAAAAATATGTAATGATGGATGTAGTTTCTTTGCATATGTAATCAATGCAACAGCTCAGAGTCCACTACTTTCACAGAAAGATTTATGTAAGGTGTTAAAGTGTTGACACTTCAGCAAAATGTAGTCCTTTTCTATGTGTTCTCAGTTTGGTTTGTGTGTCAGCACTCACCTGGAGCATGATCTTCCAAATATAAATGCTTTGGGCGATGCCAGGTGCCATAACAATAAGTGCTTTGCCTATGCAGGCATAATAGAACTAGCTTCTTTAAGTTGAAATCTCAAACCAAGGAGAGGCTCTGTGCTGTACAGAAGACAGGCTAGCAGGTGAAAACATGAAGTTTGATTTATGCTTAGATATGAGTCTATTTGGGCAGATAAGTTGTTGTGAAGGTATATGACTCAGTGTACAGGAAGGGTTTGATTTACCCCTCCTTCCTTCCAGCTACAGCTCTGCATATCCCGTAAAAGTAAAGTAATCTTGATCCTAATGTGGTGATCCTAATTTTCAGAAGTCTATGGTGATGAGCCTGAATTGATATCTACTGTTGTTTTTCATTTAAGAAAAAAAAAATCAGTAATAAGTTCCTGGAGAATTTTAGTAACAACAACAGGGGAAAAAAAACCTTTGGAATTTCATTCTAATTGCACTTAATATGTTTGTGTTAATATGTACAATATTTTATTTTCATAGTCAAATTGTGCACATTTCTGGTATCACATTAAACTATTTTTTTCTTTTTTTCTTGTTGTTATTGTCAGATGGCATGAAGAAACCTGTGGTCATGTGGAATATCCTTGCCGTTTCCAAAATCCTGCTGCCAGGTTGCAGGCAGTCATTCCTTATAGAGTCTTTGCTCCCTGGTGCCTTATGGAACTCTGTGAAGAACGTCTACTTCAGCTAATTCCTCAGTGCCTGTCAGCTGCTTACACCACACTGGGTACCCACCCCTTTTCCAGGCTTGATGTTTTGATAGTTCCTTCCAACTTTTCCAGCCTAGGAATGGCTAGGTAAAGAAAATTCTTTGTATCTCATCTCCTGTATTTTGTTAAGACTCCTTTTTATCAGCTAGCTAACAGTGTCAAGTTGCTATCAATATAAAGTTGTTGTGATGTTTGTCTTCAGCCAAACTTAAAACTCTAGTTCTGGCTTCATACTGGTAGGTTTGTTTGCATCCTTGGTGCTATGATCTTTAATTTTAGTTTTAACAGGCTGCAGGGAAGGAAGATAGCAGCTCATTAGATGTGGATCTGAATTTCCTCATTTGCAAAACTTAAGTTCTTTTATTTGTTCTGTTGATTTAAATACTTGATGCTGCTATCATTCTGTCATGTTTTCTTTTGGCATTGATTTTACCATTATGTCTTGACAGAACAAGATCATGTTAAAATCCAGATCTAGAGTTTATTCATAAGCCTTTTGTAATTTATGAGTGATTTATGATTTTATGATTTTTGACTAGAAAGTCAAACACTGGTCTTTGGAAGCTGAGTAAGGATTATATTATCAAGTTTTCATGGAATTGTGGAGAAGAAAAAGCTTAATTAAATATTTTTGGTTTTACAGTATAATTTCCAGTCATACAATCACAATAGAATTTTAGCATATTAGTTGTAAGGCAATGCCTAGCAATGAAAATTCCCTGTTTGCTTTTTATTTTTCTTGAAATTTATATATATTTAAGTTGGTAATGAGATAGTATTTGTTAATAGTAGAGAATAAAACACTATTTTATTCCTTGTTTGCCTAGTGCCAACAGTAGAGTGGATTCATTTAGGCAGATGGACAAAATGTCCGAGGGAAGAATTAAAGGCAAAGCTCTCTTAGAAAGATGAGGACTGAAAGGAAAGGTGTATTCTCAGACTGTTGGTTTTGTATTTTTGAGCTCTTGGGGCAGTTGTCAAGGAGGTCTGATATCTGAAGCAACTTCAACAAATTGCCAGTCCAAGTGCTTAGATGAACCAGAAGTTTATTTCTTTTACAAACTGTATAATTCATCAAATAAGGAAAAATCTTGTTTCATGCTACATGTTTTCTTTCTTGTTTACAGATTTTTTTTTTCTACAGCTTTCCTCTTGCAGTCTTCCTTAGGGATAAAAGTAGAAATTTATGGTGGCATGTAATAATATTGTATAGTTTTTAGGGTGTTTCCTTTTTTTTAAAATGAAGATCTGTAAAATTTAAAACTTAAGCATTCAGTGACCCTTCTCTGTCATGTAAGCCTCATTGCTTTGTAAATATCTTGTACTGGTTACTGAGTTTGCAATGATAGCTCTTTGCTCAATGAACTCTTAAATGAAAGCATGAAGAAATTTACATGAGTCCTGATTGCTTTGGGCAGCTGCCACAGACTATATTCTCTTATGCTTTGCATAGTGGTTTGATTTGGAGGTGTGATGTTGTGTATCATGTTCTTGAAGCCATATGAAATTGGTAGAGCTGCTTAGTGATTTTCTCTGATTTCAAAGGCGTGGTGCTAAAAGGTTGACACAGGTCCCTACGGATCATCACTGTCGTTAAGGAAGAAACTGGCCATTTTACTTACCTGTGTGATAAGAGCAGTGATCAGTGGAACCATGAAGGGCAAGACCCACAAATAGTACAAAATGAAAGAGAAAAGGGAGAGAGATGTCTAGGCCAAAATGACAGCACACAGTAGGAGAACTCTTCAAGATTCAGTTACTGATATGCTACTGCTCTTTGGGAAGTTGTCAGAGCTTCCCCTGCATGTACCTTTCCCAGAATTTATAGGGCAAAGATGCCTGTAGGCTATTCTGTTGCAAAACCATCTGTGGTTATCTGAGTCCAGATTGCATGCTCAGAATATTGTAATTGTGCTTTCTTTGTGAAAGAGATGAGAAAAACCTATGCTTTTATTTCCCTGTACTTCTTCTAACCACTGTCAGTTCCAAGTGATCCATATCATTGAATATAAGTAAAGGATGAAAGAGAGAGCATGCATACTTCCTGATGCTTTTCATTCAACAGTTCATCAAGCCAAGCCCATTCAAATTTTTCAAAATTGAAATAAAGGAATAATTTAAGCTGTTTAAATGTCAAGCTGTATTTGGACAGCAAGAGAAATTATTAAGTGACTCATAATAGCTCGTTTGTTCTTGATTTGTGTGATTTCTCAAATAGAGCCTTCTATATATATAGCAAGCTACTTAAATGGTTAATTCCTGTGCATGCAGTGATAATTACCTAAATGACTTAAGAATAAGCTATATGCAAAACTGTGTCCAAACCCACATGAAAAAAAGTTAGGTATTATCTTGGGTTAAAAAGGGTGCTGTAGTATTTTTTTTTTTTTTATCTTCTAGTCTATCTGTAGCAGTATAAACATAATACAGCATGCCAGCACAAAGAGGCTGTTGTTTTGAGAATTCTAATTGTACTCCTACCTGCCAGGGAAGGAAGCAGTCATAAATCTTAGTCATTATCTGAAGTATCAGGGCTTTGCAGCGCTTGGCACTTTTCTTTGTCTGTTCCTCATTATCTGATACTTACTGTGTTTTTTATATCCTAAAATACTTCCGTTTACTTAGGGAGGATGTTTCCCCAACATTTTAGACTGGTATGGAACTATGATAGCTCATGCATAGAGTGACCTAATTAGGTGTTTGAGGCTGTGTATTCCAGTAGCCACTGCTGTGGGTCAGCTGCATTTCTTCTGAAGTCTGACAGATGCTTTATGAGAGACACTCTAGTTGAAAGCATATGCATTTTACTTATGTTTTCTGTACATCTCTTCCTGTGTTTTTTAATGTGCTGGGGACTTCTGTACGGAAAGGGAACCTTGACTGTATATAATAACTGCAATCATTCCCTCTTGCTTCCTGCAGATCTTTGAAGTTGGAGGATTTAATTTGCACTCTCTTTTCATTCTAACTATTTTAGTTCAAGTGATTCAGTATAGCTTCTCCCAAATTTATGCTAGTAAAAGAAGAATGCGGCCTACATGTCTTTATTGGTGATATTATGTTAAACTGTGCATAAATTAAATGGATAAAGCATTGTGGAACAAATTTGACTAGCTTAAAAGCCAGAGGGTCAGTGCTTCTTGTAGAATTTTGAGAGTTTCATGAACACCTAACAGCACTTAATTGCCTGATTTTAAGTTCTGTCACTAGCAGAAGGGAGGAAATTAAGAGGAAAAGGAGTAGAGGAGTGTGTCAGGCTGCAAACACTCTAGAGCTCCTAATTAGATTGTTCAGGGAAGAGATCCCTGACCTCATGCTACACTGAAAGGTGTGCATCATTCGTGTACTCAGAGAGCTAAGAGGTTAGAAGCAAGAAATTAAAAGTAGCACCATGTTTTGGTGCTCTTGATGATGACATGCTACTCCCTGAAATTGTCATTTGGCATTTAAATTTGCCAATTGTCCTATTGGCATTTAAACAACAGAGTTATTTCACGGTTGCAAATGCTCTCATGTGAGCCAATAGTTACTCATGTGAACAAAGCTGGCTGAAAGACTTCAAATAAAAAATAGGGCCAGTGTTTGCACTCTGTTTCCTGTTTTTTCGCGCTCTTCAAATCAGTTCATTCGAAGTCCAGTTTTGTTGATCACATTTGAAAACGTAGTGTTTCAACATCTCTTCCTGCTGGCCTACAACTCAGTTTCCTTTTCTTTTGGCTAAACCTGAAGAGACTCAGAATTCCTTCTTCTTTTTCATTCCTAAGGGAAACCATTCTTACCAATACAGAGACTCTAGCTTTTTGTACCACCTGAGTCGGTGCATGAGACCTTGACTTCTTTTGCAGCGTTTAATTGTGTAAGAGTTTGGGGTTTTTAATTTTCTTCATGGAAGTAATTTTTTCCTTGATAACCATTGAAGGACTTTCACAGTCATGCCAATCTCTTGTGTTTCTATGGCTTTAGTAACTGCTTACCATCTTCCTACTTCTTTACAGCAGAAGTGCGGGTATTTATTTTACTCTCCTGGAGGTTGTAAACCTTTGTTTGCATTGAGTTGAAGTACTTTTTTTGAAACAATGGTCTTCAAAGTTTTTTGTTTCCAGCACGCATAGTTTAAATAACATAAGATTACTGCTTTTTCTGTTTGAACTAATGTACTTTAGATATACTAGTTTTGTAGTAAGTGCTAGCACAAGGAAAAATTCTTGGGCAAGCACAATGTGTCAATAACTTGAGTAGTCACATCACATGTTGCTGGGAACTGGAAGAGTATGATGAGAAGTGTCCATTGGTATGTACCATGCTCTTAGTTTTCCCTTAAACACTTAGTACTAGTAACTACTGAAAACAGAATAATGGGATAGATGGACTTCTCGTTTTACCTAGTTTGTCTGTTCTTACAGCAATTTTGCCCAGCAGAGCTAGCAAGATACTAACATTTTCAAAACAAAATCCCAATGTTAGGTTGTTTGAATCCTTTTTAGACTCTGAAATTAGTGGCCTCATTTTCAAGTATGCTGGACACCCTTGAAACCCAAATGGTGTTTGATGACAGAAACATAGAGAATGGTTGGCACATATGAAAATCAGGTCAATTTATATAGCTGGCTAAATATAAATTTAGCAACCCAGCTTCCAGTTCCTATTTATAAAGGTCTCAGTCACTCTTCTCCTCTCAGGTAAATGGTCTTTGGTATTTTAAGAGTAAAGAATATCCCTTCAAAACATGGTGTATCAGCAGAACTCCTGAGTCTTTCCAGGTGTTAACATTTTGAACTAAGGTTGTTAACATTTTGAACTGAAAAGGGAGAAGAAAAAAAAAAGGGGGGGGGGGGAAGCCCAAGCAACCTCTTTGATCTGTGCGTCTGTAGCCACCGTTTATCCGATCTGTATGTCTGCAGTGTTCTGATGACAACTGATAAGTCTATAACAAAATGACCCAGGACTATTGGAGGACATCCAAGTATCAAACCTCAATGTGAGTCCTTAGCATTGTTCAGTGCTGCAGAACTGTGACTGACTATTTGCCTTGGCTGTAGAAGCCTTTTGTGAGTGTACTTTGTACAAACGTTTTTGCACAACATTTT